ACAACTATCTACTGGGGCTTTGGGGGGAGAAATAAATAAATAAAATTATAAAAAAAAAAACTTTGATTTTTTCACTTTTAATAACTTCAACCGGTGTACTATGTTTTAGTAATTTCAGAGGGTGTTTTTAATGACCTTGTGTAATTTTAAAATTTAGTGGTTTAGGGCACAGTCATCAGGACTTTTTTGGTTATAAGTCACAGAAAACTAACTGTAGGAACAGTGTTCACTCAGGAACAGCTGGCTTTGATCCAACAGAAATCTGTCTCATTCCATTGCTCACCTCTGCTTTCCTCCATGTTGACTTCATTTTCAGATAGACTCGTGCCTCAAATGGCAAAATACAGGCACCAGCCACTCCAGGGTTACCTTTTACCAGCCGAACGACTGAGTTTGAGGACCGGCTCTCACAGCCTGGCTGGAGGTCATGTTGTCGTGTCCAATTGGCCAAGCCTGGAACATGGACTACCTCTGTCTGGACTGAGAGTAGAAATGATTTCCAAAATAAACTTGCCATGTTGTTATCAAAATTAGCAGGAAAGGATGCTGGGCATGGTAGCTTAGAACACAGGTTGTTAAAAGAAGGTACAATCAGAACTTTTTATTTTTTGGTGCTAGGATTTAAGAAAACAAATCTGCTACCCTAAAAGAACATATCCAATATTAACTACCACTGCCTGAAAAAAAGACCAAATAATGCACAATTTGTGATTGGATACCAGACTCTGTATCAATTTTTTAAAAAAATTGTAACATTAACAGTTCTTTTAAGTAATTATCACCATTTTGGAGCACTTACCGTGTGTCAACCTCTGTGTGAAGCACTTTACATATTTCATATAATCCCTACAGCAGCTTTGTAAGGTTGGCATTAATTTTCTCATTGTGCTGATGAAGAAATGGAAGCTCAGAGAGTTTGGATTTGAATCTAGACGTGTCTGACTTCACTTATACAGTCTCTTAGTTTACGGTTTGCTTTTGTTAGTCTGTCTATCTAACTATCCGTCTTTCATCCATCCCCTCAGAACTCCTCCTCCTCCAGCGTTTTCTAAGCAGTTGGCATCCCTTTTGCCTCTGGCACCATCCAGTCCACCACAAAATCGTACCAATTCTGCCTCCTGAACATGCCTCCAGTATTTGTCCTCTTCTTCCACCTTCGTTGCTGTCACTCCAGCCTTCGTTATGAAGGCCCTGAACTCTTACAGTGAATTCGATTTGGCCTTCCTGCTTCCAGTCTTAATCTGTCCCACCCCTGTTTTCCTTAGAGCAGCCAGATTGAACTTTTACAAAGCACAGACCTGAGCTTATCAACCTTTGTTTACCTTGGCTTCTCGCTGCACTTTGGGCTCGACCCGTGCCCCTGCCTGCCTTGCCACCCCGCCTCTCAGCTCTCCTCTCTCTGGCTTTTTTTTTCCTGTCTCTACTGCATCAATATTACATTTTACCATGTCCCTCCCTCTTCCTGTTGTGTTCTTCATTCTCACCCTTTATCTCTTTAACTCGTACGTCTTCAAGTCCTTTTTAAACATCACTTTTTAAAATCCTTAGGGGCTTCCCTGCCTCTCTCCCCCACCTCTTAAATCTTACCACGTCCTTTACTTTTCCTTTTTGTACCTATCTGTAGTTAAACATTTATATATGATTAGCAGCCCAGTGTCCCCCACTAAACCAGGTACTCCATGAGGCAGGGACCAAGTCTCTTCAGTTAATTAACTGCTGAATCTCTGTCATCACCCACAGTGCCTGGAATGAGGTAGGTCCTCAAATACGTGTTGAACAGATTGACAGACTAATAACTGAGTATGCCTAAAGCAGTGCATTGTAAATGATGACCCTTACTATAGTTCTTGCATTCTGATTTCATTTATTACTCAAGAACAAACCTATATTTAGAGCAGTTTTATCCCAGTAGCTTTTGTTTTGCATAGGATTAAGCCACGCTTCCTGTATTGCTGATTGTTATTGTTAGCAATTCAGATGCTGTACAATGATGCACTTGGTTTTCAAAACTTCTGTATCAGAGCCAGCCATAACAGGAAAATACTAAATGTTAGGATGTGTAATTCCTCTCAATTTGACCTGAGCCTAGGTGAGTGAGAGAGGAAGAGAAGACAAGGCTGTACTGACTTGCTCCAAGTGGTTCCCTACCCAATGACACAGAAGCTTGAACACTCCTGTACCTCAGCTGTGCCATCCCCAGAACCCAGGGATCCAAATTCAGCTCTCTCCACATGTCCTTGCAATTTCTGGCTACCATCTTTGTCCAAAATGGCTCTGGAAGGAGAAGCTTTCTCTCCAATGATTTATTATTTAAAGCAGTCTTCCCAACCTTTGTCATGGACACTGGCAATATTTGTATGGCCCACTGGAGTTCTGTCTGCTCCAGGTCTGAAGGGTTCACTGTCTCTACACACTTGTGACCTTTTGACTTGCACACAGGCACGTTGGCTGGGAAACTTCTCTCTCCATGATCGTTCCAAGTGTTGCAGATAACATAACTTCTTTCTCTCTTTTTCACCCACAGTTGGTCATGTTCGGAGTTTGACCTGAATGAGATTCGCCTGATAGTTTACCAGGACTGTGAAAGGAGAGGCCGACAAGTCTTGTTTGATTCTAAAGCTGTTCACAAGATTGAGGAGGTGGCAACTCAGGTATGAAATGCAGATTTGCTTTTATCTTTTAACCCCCTCTTTGATCAATCATTTATTAATCCAGTCTTCTCTTTGGGCTATGTTGTACAGTGTCATTAATGATTCAGAAGACATATAAGCAAAGCTGCCCCCCTTTTACCACATTTTTCTTCCTATTAATATATACTGGTGAAACTGTTAGCAGGTAATCATGACAGATGCTCAGCAGTGTACTATAAATATTTCTAGTGGTGGATTTGCTGGTGAGTTGCACTCTAGTAGGATTTTGATGCCAGATGTATGCTGTATAATGGGAAAAATAAGAACTCTAAAATTCATGAAGTGTTAGCCTGAAGGAAAGTTAATAGGTTATTCTGTCTGGTATTTCTCCTTGATAGTAAGAAGTATTACCTAGCACTGGGTTAAACAAAATTAAATAGCTTTCCTCACTATACGGCTTCAGAATGCTAACAGGCATTGTCATCTTCAAAAGGGAGTGCTTCTCAAATCTATCTAAACAAGGAAGGTTTTATTTATTTCCTGTTTTAGTGGAGGGCAGGGTGGTGGTGGTGATGATGTGGGGCAGCATCTAGGGATGAGTAAAGTGAGGACAGAGCAGCTCTTGATCCCTTGGAGCCAGAATGGGAAAGGTCAAGTGATGTGTCCAGGTGAGGAGCCGAGTCTGGTCCTCCCTGAGTCTTCTGGACATCCGTCCAGAGTACTTCCAAGTTGTCGCTTTTAGACCTTTCATTCTCTTTTCAGTAGTTATTCAGCTATCTATTAATTAAATAAATCCATTTGTATTCATTCTTTTCATGTTCCATAACTTACTATCTATACTGACTGAATTCTGGCAGTTTATTGAATGTGTAGCTAAGTAAACGAATAGTTTATATCACAGTCTTTGTCTCATCAGGGCCAAGGGGCTGTTTTCCTACTTTTGATGAGGATCATTTCTGCAGGAAGGAAGTGTTTGGTCAGAGGCAGTTTAGCTGGTGGACTCTGCAGTGCTTTGAAGTGGAAGTCTGCCGGGTAGCTAATCATTACAGTAGTGGTTGGGCTTGTTAGGTCGGTAGGTAGGGAGGCGGGGGGGCTGAGAACTCTCTCAGGTGATGCAGCTATAGGCTTTAATGGAAGAGTTGTATGAAAGTTTAGGTGAGCCAGCACTTGACCCTTTGTTTGGTGGACAGGACGTGGTTTCTCCTTGATTTCCCACATCAGTTCCTGTTTCCGTGAAGGCCTTGCACAGATGGTTTAGTTGAACACCCACACTCCATCACTAGGGCTCCTAATGGTAGTAACAAGTGGAGGGAAAAAAATTCACTCCAGTTTTCAAAAGGAACTGGAATCTTCAGTATATCGGAGCAGTGATGACACTGGAGTCTGGAACATAAGGTTTCTTGGAAGCACTCATTTAATCAAAAAGGCAGCCAGGTCCAGGGAGACTTGTAATTTGCTCAAGGCTACAAAGAGTCCAGTGGGTACAGCGTATTCACTGTACCAGGTGCCATCTCCAATTATAGACTGCTCAGTGTGTTGTACCCCAGCCAAAGGGTCTAGCATTCTGTGAGGCAGGTGTGGACTTTGTGTCACTTTAGGCCCTCTGAGGGGCTGTGTTTCTGGCTTAAGTGGTATTAAGTAACAGCTAGATCTGAAGAGGGTGTTGAAGGAGTGCCAGATGCTCGGGAACAACCAAGTACAACTTCGAATGCCGTCACTGCGGGAGTGACTGTCATGGACCAGCACAGTTTGTATTTTCCTTACATTGTTTTCCCATTTCCAGCCCCCCACCCCCTTGGCAAGCACAAAACGTCATGAGTTTGTATCAAGCACATGACTGCAGGCATTTGCATTAGACCACCAGTGTGACTGTCACATTGGAGATTAGATAAGCTGCAGTTGCATTCATGGTTTTCCAAGCAAAAGCTGCACATGAAAAAGCAAATAAGAGTCAGAATAGAAACAATTTATCATAGAGGGCACAGGATGCCTCTGTATGGGAGCAATATATTTTGGTGTAGGAGGAAGGGAAAAATTAATAAAGGTCTATCTTTATACCTTTATGTCACTGTCATAAGAACTGACAGTGAACTCTATTCAGGGACTATACAGTAGATAGTCCTCTATTACCCCTAACCTTTAAAGGCCATATTTCCATCACATGCTGTATTAATTCACAGGAGCTCCTGTTTCAGTTTTGGCTTCATCTTTCACAAACTCGACCTCGTGATTTTCTTTCCTATTACCTTTAAAAGAGTGCTAGAGGAGGTGTGTCATTAAAAACACAAGGCCAGTCTTTCCAAATTAATAGTTTTGCCTTCTTCGTTCATTTGCTGGGTAAAAATTTAAATTTGAAGCAATGTCCGTCTTCTCATCAATTTTATAGATTATGACTATATGTAGTACTAAAAATCCTCTAATAACCAAAACAGAGATCAGATCTCATTGATGATTTTAAAATATGATTGGAATGTAAATAATAGTTTAATTATTTACGGAGAATGAAGTCTTAATAAATAACCTTCTGTCTAGTACCCTTCTTCAGCATTCCCCCCCACCCCCAAATGTTATAGACTCTGAAGGACCACATTTTTGTCCTCATTAAAAAGAAATTTAAAAACTTCTGGTTTTCTATGCAACTTAGGCACAACATAACAGAATGATTTAACAAAGGAATTCCCAATGAAGAACGTGTTGAGGAAGCCTGATATACTTAGCAGTACTTTGCCTTGCCTGTCTCTCTTAACCCAGAAAGCAGAGGATGTCCCTGTTAAAGTGTCAGCCAAGTGCTGTCAAGGAAGCAGCAGTGGCAGCATCTCCTCTTCCCATGGTTCTTCTGGGGGATCTTTACAACACGCTAAGGAGCAGCTTCCAAAGTACCAGGTAAAACCGTCACTTCTATGTGGAATACCCCATGGGGCCGAAGTCATTTGCTTATAATTTCCCCCGGGGAATGATGCCTACTTGAGGGTTCTACTCCAGGAGTAGGAGAATAAGTATTCACAAATGTGCTCTTAAATGTTTCGTGTCAAGGCTGTTTTCACACTTTGGCTTTTATTTCTCGATAAAAACTATAATTGAGCAGAGGTGATCCAGTATAATACATACCAAATGAGACAGAAATATTGTAAATAAGAACTCTCAGGATTCTGGGGATGTATATGGGCATCCTAAGAAAATAGCACTTGCCAGTAGAAGGAAGAAAACCTTGTATAGGAGAAGACAGAAATGGCAAGACCTAACTTGAGTGTGAAGAAGGATAGAGGGCTGGTAGCATTTTTTATGCTCTCTCTCTCTCTCTCTGTGTGTGTGTATAAGGTGGTAGAGCATAGAGATTAGGGTTATTGAGAAATATTGGCTAACTAGATATAAGGGAAGAAATGTTTCATAAATATTAAATAGCAGAAAGGTATTAATTGATGGAGGATATATCAATTTTTATTTTGACTCGTGGAATTTTGTTTTCCATGTTGCTGCAAAAACAAAACCAGGGAAATTACCAGCAGCCACAGGTCTATAGAACTTCATTAATTTCATGGTCAGGATTTGTGCCACGCGTTTATCCTTATTTCACAGTGCTCCTGGGTTTCAAAGTGGCTTGTAGTTAAAAAAGTATAGAGTGAAATCATCAGCTAGTTGAGAATCACAGTTCGCATGTGGACCTTGTACCCCAAGAAAAAGCACATTATTAAATGGAGATGGTGGGTGGAAGTTATTAATAAAGAATGTGAAAGCCAGTTGGTTTCTGTCTTCATGTAGTGAGAAGAGGTTGGTGTGAACTGTACGCAGAGAGAAACCTAGTTAAACAAAGCTGATAGATTTATGTTTCTCTTTCTTCCTCTGCAAACGTGTACAAGTAGGTGTGTATATGTATGTTTGTGTGTATATGTGTGTGTGCGTGTATTTGGAGTTAAAAAATAAAAGATTGAGAAAGAGAGTGTTAAGGATGTTTCCTGTGTTTTTTGCTTGGGTGAAAAGCATACTAGCAGAGAATTTGGCTGGTAGGCTGGGTCACAGAGAGTTTTGTTTTGGTCAAGCTGTGCTGGGGTGCCTGTGGCACACTAGCTTGGTTGACGTTTATGTCTATCCTGTTCATCTGTATGTCACCAGCACTTAGAATAGGTGCTTAGAATCCTATATCCAAATGTATCCATTCCCATATCATAATATGTTCATAATTTTAAAATATTATTATATGTGACTGAATGCATTTGGATATAGGGTCCTAGAACTGAAGGAGTGGTCTGGGCCTAGAGATAAAGATGTGGGGGGTATTCCTATGTAAAGAATAATCAAAATCGTAAGAATGGTTGAGAATGCCGATAGTGAGTAGGAGGCCGTCTGAGGAACAAGCCTGTTCAAAGGATGATCTGGGAAAGAAGAGATTCAAAAAGGAGAGTAATTAAGAGCATGAAATACCATGAGATACATCTAAGAAAGCAAACTGGAAAGTGTCCATTGGATTTGACAGGAAGGTGAAGGTCGTCACTACAGCAGTTGAATAGGCGAGGCTGCAGTAGGTTAACAAGCCAATGAGGGTGGGGAAAGTGGAGGCAGCGCAGTCCACTCTTTCAGATGACAGAAGGGACAAGAAAGACTGGTTGGATCTGGAAGGGTCAAATATTTTTGTAATATTTTTCTAAAACTTTAGAGGTATCAGACCACCTGTTATTTGGACCTTCCCAAAACCCTGCCTGTACCAATTGGCATTTTTGTTCAACACTATTAATTATTTGGTTGAATAATACTGAATCGTATTTCTTTTCAGCATGTGTTCTTAGTATACCAAGAGAAGAGTTACCCTTTTTCTTTCATTACTTAATCTTTCTATTTAGAGTTTGTAAGTGGAAATAATGAAAATCTGTGTTTCTCATAACAAGATTAAATATGAACTCTGATAAAACATCTGGATCTTGTAGGAAGATATTGTGTGTAAAGAAAAAAATCATGAACATTAGTCATAATTTTGGGAAAAAAATAGGCAATCACCATTGTAGATTAAGATTGTAAAATGATTAATTGCTGCTTTGAGAAATAGTTTTAATTACCCGCTAAACTGAAGAGGACCCCAGAGATTAATAAACATTATTCTATATTGCATTGCACATCATGTTGTGCCGCGTACTAACTTTGATTTTGGTTTCCTTCATGTATGGTAGTACACAAGACCAGCTTCTGATGTCAACATGCTAGGGGAAATGATGTTTGGCTCAGTTGCAATGAGTTACAAAGGCTCCACCTTAAAGATACACTATATACGGTGAGTTGGGGCTTCTTTTTCTACTAGTTGTGAGAAGTGGAATGGTGATACTGAATCCTTAATTCAAAAATACAGTTCTCAATCTTTTTTTTATTTCCAGGTCTCCTCCACAACTGATGATTAGTAAAGTCTTCTCTGCTAGAATGGGCAGCTTCTGTGGGAGTACAAATAAGTAAGTGTGGGATTTTGCACCTCCCTGGCCCCCCCCGCGTTTTTTTAGGTGGCTATTTCTGGATAGAGTAATTCTTTGAGGACCATAAGGCTTTTTGAAATGAGAAGCAGGATGAGTCCACATTAACAAAGGGATTTAAAAAGTAGCCATTGTCCTATACATAGTGAGTATGAAAAGGCCTTGACTTGATCAGGTAGCCTTAAAGACAAATGACTGTCTATACATTTTGGGCATTTTGGGTGTCCATCTGTTACCCATGATGTTCCTACCGTCAGTCACCAAGCTTTCATTCCCTGGAAAATGAAAAGTGAGGGGGAAAAAGGAGGGGCCACATTACTGAGTTTATCGTATTTCCCAATATTATTTTTTCTTTTTTAAAAAACTTGTCTCTTTGTTTGTTTATTTCTAAAGGAATGAAGTACATAGCGAGTTTTTGCAGGCTGATAGCATCTGTGTGCCAGGATGGGCTGTCTGTGCTTGCCATCTATTCTGAGCCGTCAGTGTAGCCTCTGTGATTGATTGGCACTTGGGCCATGCAATATTTTGATTTTCACTCCTGAGTTTTTTCTCCCTCTAATTTTACACTTCTGTGTAGACTGAGAATACTGAAATGTCTCACAACTCTCATTCTGGCACATTTGTTGATATATTTTGAACTTTTCAAGCAGAAATATTTCATATACTTCTTTTTTGAATAAACAACAAAATGTGTAATACTTTGGTAAGTTTGAAAGAAATGTTTGCTATAATTAGAAGGGCATTCTTAGGGGTCAAATGAAGACTTTTTTTTTTTTAAATAATCCTGGGAAGTTAAAAATATGTTCCTCAGTGGATTTGGGTACCACTAAGTCTGCTTACTCTTCAACAAAATAATGAATTTGCTTGTTTGAGCATTTAACATTGGACTGTCATAACTTAAGCCAGTACAGGAATTAATATTTATTTCTTGAGATATTTTTTCCCACACCCTTGATGTTACCTGAACATTTATTACACTAACTACCTATAATAAAATAGTGAGCTCAGATTTAAGTAAAAATTATTTGACCCCATTATACTGTATTGTCCTCGAAGTCTTGATATTTCTTTTACTTGTTAATAAATACAATAACTTATTAAAATCTGCCTCCCTCACATTTGTGTTTATGAGTACCTCTGACTTTTTAGAAGTTATGAAATCAAACTCCTACAGGAGTCATAATTTCTATTATATCCTCCTCCTGAAAAAAGTTGCTGAGTTGCTCATAGATGTTAACTAAGAGTTAAAATTAATTCCATTTTGAGGTTTTATGTAAAATTATCCTTGAAATGAATAGCAACATCTTGGGTATCAGTCACTAAAGCAAAATTTAGAAACAAATGGCAATATCCTGGGTGTCTGTCTCCAAAGCAAAATCTGTAGTTTCATGTCCCCTTATATAATGTGAAATTGTTAGGAATGTGTTGTTTAGTTTTATAGGTTGGACTACCTCCAAAAGGCTTTTCTTGTCTTTTCTTCCAACAAATTCCCCTAAAGTTTAATTCGCTTTGGTAGATGTGAGACTTTATTCATTTATAAGGAAAAGTCTGAGCAACTGTTAAGTTATCTGCATCTGAGAGTCTGTTAGAAAACAGCTTTATTTGTCTCTTGATGATTTTCTCCTCTCTCCCTCCCTCCTCCTCTCTGCATTTAGCTTGCAGGACAGCTTTGAATACATCAATCAAGATCCTAATTTGGGCAAACTGAACACAAATCAGAATAATTTGGGTCCTTGTCGTACTGGAAGTAACCTAGGTAAAATCAGCCACATAAATGGGCTCTTTCTTTCTGAATACCACTATTGTGGGTGTGTGTTTTGCTTTATTTGAGTTTGTTGTGTTGTTTTGTTTTTTTGCATTATCTTTAATCCGTGTTTATTTTTGTGTGTGTACTTGTTTGCCCTTTTCTGTGTGTTTCTGTCTCTAGGTCTGCTGCAAGCATGCAGCAGCAAACTGCTGCAGGGGGTAGCTGAAGGAGGACCTCTCCGGCTCACCCGGAGTGCTTCTTTCTTTGCAGGTTTGTGTGGAATGCTGAGTACAGTGTGACCCACACACATATTAATAAATCCTGTGCAAGTTCTTAGGAAAAAAATCCTATTTGGTACCTCTCTAGAAATCCAAGGGGCTCTTGAGATATTAGTTTCAAATGCAGCCAAGTTCATGATGTTTTGAAAATTCCACCAAAGAACCTCTATTGTAAATGTCTTTGCTAATACCCCAGTGTAAGCTGATTTTGATCTGAAATGAGCCCTTAGTGTTTCTAAGAGGATTATATTTTCTGATTTTCCTGGGTCTCTTCTGCTGCAATGAACCATTTCCCTTTGTCATGGTATCTTTTATCCATTTGTTCACCTGCATCCTTACCTGCACAGGTTTTCTTCAAAAGTCACTCTAATAAGAGCATGGAAGACTTCTCTCCTTCTCTCTCTCTCTCCAGCATTTAAGTAGTTTAAATACAGTTTCTAGGTTCTTTACAGGTATAATCATCTCAGTCTCTCTGGGTAGGTAAATTCTGAGATTTAACTGGCCTTGGTAGCTCAGGCTGTTGAATGTCTGTTGTAGTCTGGCATGATTAACAAGTGTGGGAAACCTTCATTACTAACATTATAGTTTGTGATTATGGCAAATGGTATTCTTCATTCTGTTCTTCTTTGTAGCCTGAAATATGCAAAGCACTATAGTTAACTGACACCCTAATGAAACCGACACCCTCCCACCTACTGAGAGTGAGGATAACATGTTTATATACTCTCTTTAAAATTATGAAAATAAACATGTTTCAAAAAATAGCTGGCAAGTGTAATAATCAGGCAGGGCACTGGGCCTCTTGAACGTTGTAAAGCTTTCTATAGCAACATGTCATCTATCCTCTAGTGCAATAAGTATGCAATTTAGATCAATCTGAAGCATTCCTCCAAGTCTGTAATACTTTATTTTCTGAAGTTGATGCCAGGACATGAGTTTCTCTAAGGAACTCTACAGTAATACTGTGTATGGGTGTATATGGAAAAGAAGTGGAGGAAGAAATGTTTGAAAATGAATATAAGTGTTTTCTATCTGCCAAGAGAGTGGGTTATAAACAGAGAAACATTTTTTAAATTTATGAAATGGTTTTCAAGTATTTCTTTTCCCTAAGTGGCCTATAGTTACTACTGAAACTGATTATAAAACATTTTGAAGATACAGTGCTATTTAAGTACTACTACTAATGAGGAAAACGGCTAAAAGTATCTGCCTTTGTTTGTTCATTGTATCAACTGCATGAATAGTTTATTATTCAGTTTTTTTTAGAGATGAGCATCGCTCAGAACAGTTTATGTGCTACAGTAGGATAGTTAAAGGCAGATGGTTACTTGATTCTGTTTTCTTCTTACTCTCACCATCATCTGTTTATGTATTTAATTTTGCTTTCTGTTTAATCTGTATATAAACTTACGCCAATCATCAATAGCAGTAGCCTACTTTGAAATGTAAAAATTACTGCAGTCATTTTTAAACAATTCCTTCTTTGGAGAGCCCAGTAACATGGTTTCCTTTTGCCTTTCTCTTAGCACATAGCACTCCAGTTGACATGCCAAGCAGAGGACAGAATGAAGACAGGGACAGTGGCATTGCTCGATCAGGTATTTATACTTCCTTTTCTTGGTTTAGCTAATAGAGTGAACTATCCATGATGGGGACATAGTTGAGAAAATAGAAGACACGTCTCATCTTTTTTTTTTTTCTTCTCCATATTCTAAGATAGTCTCACATGTCTGAAGATCTAGAACTTTGTTGTATAGCATCTAGGAGTGATTGTGCAACTTGAACTAGTTTTTTCTAATAACCCAATTCGTATGAGCCTAATGTACTTTGAGAAATTTTTTTTAAAGGGAAACTTCCTTAAGCCAATTGTACTGGGAATTTGCTTGCCAAGTGTTGAGTATAAAATCAGAGGAAGAAAAGTGTCTGTGGAAGTAACTCTATCCATGACTATGGGAGGGCCTGCCAGCTACTTGGTCACCCTTTCTGTCCTAGAGTCTTGCTGATCTAGATTTTATCTCAGGTACCCCTTCCCTCCTTACTTCAAGCCTTAAACTTTTCTAATACTGCTTTTAAGATCTCTTGATTTCTCCTTTTGTACACGATTCTGCTGTAGATTTTTGATTTGTGGTTCAGATCTGAGGTAGATTCTGTGCTGTAAAAGAAGGGTAGTGAACTAACCATCTGGAATTTGAGGACTCGGAGGTATGCGGGGCTTTGCCTGATGAACATATAACATACATGCATCTTCTACCTTCCACTGAAAAGACTGGCAGCACCCTGCTGGTTTCAGCAGTGATACATGGCACCCTCACCAAATAGGCCAGCCAGTTGGTGCTCACATGTGCTAGGACGGGATCCAGGCCTCAGATGCCTTTCCTCCCAGCCTTTCACTTATTTCTGTTGCCAGCACTTGCCCTTAGACACAGCTCGAAGGAGTCTTTGTGTTCCTTCTGTGTGAAACGAGAGCCCTTCACCCCACTTGTTTCAACTTTGCTCCCAAGTTATTAAATGAAATGTAATTTGTTACTGAATCCCCCTGTTTGGCTTATATATGTCACATAATGTAAAGTATACAGTATTTCAATTATGGTTAAATAAAAATAATTGATTCAGTTTGGTCTTCATAAACTTTTCTGTAAAGTTGGGCAGTGAACCCTTGGTCAGAAATGTAACACCTGTTGATTAGACCTGTATCATTTTCATTTATAGCAATTTTTGTACAAACATAAAATCTGAGACGGTAAAGAGCAACTTATAAAGTGCTAAGAGAACTCTTTTTATTTCTGTTTGTTCTTGACGGTGCTCAGGATAATTTCCCCATTCCTTACAGGGCACTGTCGGTGTTCTCTGCTGCAAGAATATCTGAACTCTTTGAGTTACTCAGTACATCAGTTACTCAAAGGCTATGAGTGTGTGTTGAAGATCTGGGTGTCCCAAAGTTCAGCTTCCTGCCCTTGTAGGGTCTAGCCAGTCAGGACTGGCACTGGGACTGGCTTTGTTATGGTTGAATTTCCAGGCAAGAAGATGTGGGTACCACCATGAAACCAAGATCGCTCTCCATCAAAATTGCTGTCTTAGTGGCTGACGAAGTTTATGTTTGACTTTGTGTGGTGAGAGCTCTTTACCTCTCTGTGAAAGAAAGAAAGAAAGATGAATACCATTCGACTGGGACCCATTCTGAACACTGATATCGCAGAGTTCCTGCAGTAACCTTTTATTTATTTGTTTATGCACCTTCTTGTTCTAGAAAAGATTTAAAGAGATATTGAGGGAGATAATACCAACAGAAACATTAGCGGAAGTTTGGGTTTTCCTGGGTAACTTTTCAGTTTATAATGTAATTGATGTAAATGGTTCACGTTGTACCCATCGAAATGTTTGGTACTATTCAGAGTCTAAGTTGTTCCTAAGACTAGTTTTCCTTGCCCTTTGAGCAGCGAAAAACTTGAGGGGCCAAGTTTGAATTAAAGTGAAAAGTCTATAGCAGTCAGATCTGAAGGTTTTCTCGTGAGAGGAACTTGGGACTGACCAGATGGGAAGCGGTATTGATTCAAATGTGAATTATGAGAGTTAGAGAGGACTGGCTTTCCTTGGTAGTTTAGCTTCTATTCCAGGCAATCTTTACTTCGAGTCTCCCAGTTCTCCTATTAAGGGAAAGGGGACAGAGATGGAGAGGGCCTGGAAGATGTGTTCACATACCATCTGCTCATATCTGGAAGCTGTTCTAAAATCACTGAGTCTGTGTAAAGACTAGTGGGAGCTCTGCACCTCTGGTGGGGTTAGCACTCTAGTCAAGTCCTCTTCATGTCCTCACTGTGGCTTGTTCTCTAAGAGCTCTTCTCCTTATACCCACCGTAAGTTGTTAGGGATCAAGGTCCTAGTTCCGAAACAGAACAGGGACTCCAGATGTTTACATTGAATTAGCAGTAGAAAATGTAGAGGAATCAAAGACACATTTATTCCTTTCTTCCATAGTTTTTAACTTCCTGTCTAAAGAGTTGAGAGATGGGGAAAATTTTTTTAAATAGATTTTATTTTTAGAACAGTTTTAGGTTTGCAGAAAAATTAAGATGATAATACGGAATGTTTCTGCGTAACCTGCACCCAGTTAGCCCTGTTATTAACATCTTACATTAGTATTGTGCATTTATTATAATCAGTGAACCAATATTGATACATTGTCATTACCTAAAGTCCATAGTCTATTTATTTCCTTAGTTTTTACCGGTAATGTCTTTTTTCTGTTCCAGGACCATCTTACATTTAGTCGTCATGTCTCTCTGGGCTCCTCTTGGCTGTGACAGTTTCTCAGACTTTCTTTGTTTTTGATAGCTTTGACAGTTTTAAGAGGTAGTGGTCAGGGCCAGCCCTGTGGCTTAGTGGTTAGGTGCGCGCGCTCTGCTACCGGTGGCCCGGATTCGGATCCTGGGCACGCACTGACGCACCACTTGTCTGGCCATGCTGAGGCGGCGTCCCACGTACAGCAACTAGCAGGATGTGCAGCTATGACATACAATATCTACTGGGGCTTTGGGGAGAAAAAGGGAAAAAAAAGGAGGAGGATTGGCAATAGAGGTTAGCTCAGGGCTGGTCTTCCTCAGCAAAAAGAGGAGGATTGGCCTGGATGTTAGCTCAGGGCTGATCTTCCTCACAAAAAAAAAAAAAAGAGAGATAGTGGTCAAGTATTTTGTAGAATGTCCAGTATTAGAATTTGTTTGATGTTTTTCACATGATTAGATAACGGTCATGGGTTTTTGGAGGAAAGATCACAGAGGTAAAGTTTTCATCACATCATATCAAGGGTGCATACTGTCAACATAATTTATGAGCATTGATGTTGGCCTTGATCACCTGGCTGAGATAGTGTTTGTCAGGTTTCTCCACTGTCAAGTTACTCTTTATTTCCTCCTTATGGTAGCTTAGGAAGGAAGTCACTATGCATGGCCCACACCTGAGGAATGGAGAGCTATGCTCCCCCTCCTTGAGGGCAGAGTATCTACATAAACTATTTGGAATTATTTTGCATGGGACATTTGTCTCTTCTCCCTTGTCCATTCATTCATTCAGTCAATCATTTATATCAATATGGACTCATAGATATTTATTTTATACTTTGGGTTATAATCCAATACTACTTTCTTTTCTTGCTCAGATTGTTCCAGCTTTGGTCCTGTAAGCCATGTAGCTCTTTCAGTTGACTCCTGTGTTTCTTTAACATACTTCCATCTGTGTGTGGAGTCTGGTGTGGTGTGTGTGTGTATGTGTGTGTTTTGAGCCCTTCCTTACTTTCTGGCACTGCAAGATGTTCCAGACTTGTTTTGTGTATTTCCTACCCCAGTCCTAGAATCAACTGTTTCTCCATGGAGCCCTGTCCTTTTATTGGAGAATGGTATTAGATTCCAAGATCTGGACCCTAGATGTGCTTGTTGCTACTGGAGTCTCATTTCTGATAGGCCCTCTCAGCTGACAAGCAAAAATGATGAGTTTATGCTGTGTATATACATACATCTATAAATATTACTGTATGTAACATCTATATCTGTATTAAGTTAAACATGAGTTTATACTGATATCTCAATTATCCATTACCACATGGATCATTCTACCTTCCTTGCCTTGCTTATTTGTAAACTCTCACTGCAACAGTGAGAAACCTGGCTCCCACCGTCTGCCCTTTATTTAATTGTTTTATGTCAGTATACATATATAGCAGTGTCAGAATTGTTAACCTGTACCCCTGTAAGAAACAACTTTATTAACGAGAGTACAGTGCTTGTATAGTTCCTTTTACCTTCAGTCTTATAGACATCCACTCATTTCCAAAGTTACTTAGGTCAGCACCTTTCGAGTTGGGGGAATTTTTGTAGCTATATATACCAGGCTAGCAGAATCTCTGAAATCACAGCTGACGCTGGTTCATCTTGCAACTGGCTTCATGAATGCTACCAAAAATTCTGAGCATCACAAGTCAAGTCTGAAGAATAATTTAAGGTTCATTTCTTTTTTCAATAGTCCAGTAAAGAAGTAACTTTAGAAAAGCTTTTTTTTTTGCTTGTTTTTTAAATCCTTGTTTATGGAAAGTTGTGCCAGGATAAAAAAGAATTTTAAAGGAGACTTTACAGTTCTCCACTGAAAAGAAACCTGAGGTTCTTTGTCCTCTCCCATCAATCACTTCCTTATACATCCCCTTCTGAGGGCACACTTCAAAGGAAGGAATGGATGTAGGAGCTTCTTGTTCAGCAGCAAACTTGTGTGTAGTGTGCTGTAGGAATACAAAAAACCATATGGTTTTGAATTCCCAAAGGGAACTCTGTTGTTGGAGAACTGAATTATTTTGGTGATTTCTACAGTAAGACCAATTTGATACAGTTGAAATTAAGGGAGGGAGTTAGAAGGGTAGATTCCTAACTAGCCTACCATCAAGCCACATTTATTTATTGAATAACAGTTTTCTAGCCCCCTGTGTTGTCAGGCTCGACCAGAATTTGGAATGTTTTTGAAGAAGTGTAAAACATAGCACCTGCCCTACAGAAGAGTTATGTGTAAACCCAGAGTTAAAATACAGTGTGATAAGTACTACCTCATAACATACTGTGGG